TGATCATTGAGAAGGTCCTCCGGCAGGATGTTCGGGATAGTCGTATAGGGGCAATCCTAGCATAGATAGTTGATGCTTTTGCTGTTAATTTGGGGTTTGATGTACGATTTGTAGGTCGACGTAACAATAGGGTAGCTCATTTGGTAGCTCGAAAGGACCTGTCTTTGTTCCCAACTACATGTCGATCCTTTGATTTCCAGGCCTGGCTGGTTTCCAGGATGTAACGATCTAATTGTTCTAATCTATTGATTATCTTTTGTAAAAAAAAAAAACTACTATAAGAGGCCCTTTCCTCTCCCTTCCACTCTTTCATTGGGGTTTCACATAGGGCTGGGAATTCGGTTGCGGTGTTGCGGTTAAACCGCTAACGCATCAAAACCGCGCGGTTAGTGGTTAACCGCAAAAATAGCCTCTTTTGCGGTCGCGGTTGGAGATATTGAGTTTTTTGCGGTTTGCGGTTTAACCGCAACCGAAACCGTAAAAACATCTAACCGCATGCTAACCGCAACCCAGCCCACCAATTTCATTTTCCAGACCAGCCCAACAAAATACCATACCCCAGGCCCAAACCCACTCCCAACCCAGGCACTCAGCCCCTTCTGGCCTTCCCAACCGGCCACCCTACTCCCCCCTCCCCCCAACTGCGAATCGCTTTCCCTTTCCGCCTTTCCCAAATCGAACGAAAACCCTAGTTCCTCCCTACCACCGCGACTCCGACGGCGCGAATGTTCCAAACCAGCGTCGTTGTCCGGAAACCTCTCTGCCACTGTCCCTTCTCGGCTTCTCTTCCGACGTCCAACAAATCCCAGTGACCATAAAATCCATTCCGGCATCGTCCCTTCTCTTCCTGCAACAAGCAATTCCCAGAGGCAAGAGAGCAGAGAACAAAAAATCCATCCGCCGACCGCCATCCTCTCCTCATCTTCTCTCGGTTGGTGATGCGAGTAACCGCGGTGCACCGTTAACCGCATTTTGCGGTTAGCAGTTAAACGCTAACCGTGGCAAGTGTGGTCGCGGTTGGCTAATATAGGCACTTTGCGGTTGCAGTTAACCGCAACCGCACCGTTTCCCACCCCTTTCACATACAAATTATAGTTTGGTATTTAAATTAATAGATCTTACAATTTAGTTCTCACAATTAATTTTTTTTTCATATTAGTCCTAAGAATATTGATGAAAATCACATTTTAGTACCTAAAAAAATTTATTTCATTTTGAAACTTACATTTTTTAAACTAGGCGGCTACTTTAATAAACTTTTGATATGCTTTATGAGGTTTTTTATATGCTTCACTTGTGGTCTGCTTTATGAGATTTCTGATATACTTCAGAAGACTTTTGATGTGTTTTATGAGGTTTCTAGTCTACTTTAAGAAACTTGTGGTATGGTTATAAGGTTTCTGATATGCTTCAAGAGACTCGTGGATTGCTTTTGGAGATTTCTGGTATGCTTTAAGAAACTTGTGACCCGCTTAAATAAACTAGTGATCTGATTTATGATGTTTCTGGTATGCTTCAGCGAACCTGTGGTAAGCTTTATTTGATTTATGGTGATAACACCTAAATTGGTGTTATCTAACCTCTATTCTCATGGCGTTTATGTGCTAAATCATCGTGTCTAGCTAGACCACATTTCAAGTTAGTTTATCCTAATATTTGTTCATATTCGTTAATCATTAGTTTAACAAAATTAAGTTAGATTGTTATCAATGTTTTCACTGGGAAAATCACCCCACTTTGTCATTTTTATGCGTTTTTTGTGTTTGTGATGATAGTCAGGTCTTATACATGTTTACAATCGACCAGGAATCGATTTGGATTTCATTTGGGCACATTTGCATCACATTGGTGCAGACTAGGGAATAAGGCAAACGCAAATCCCATATCGCAGCTGAAGCAAGCCAGATGAGCCATTTTAGAGGGAGAAAATTGGATTTTCGTAGAGTTTTAGAGAGATAAGCCGACTTGGAAGAGGTTGAGAAGGATGAATCCATCCAAGAACTAAGGAGAAGGGTGCAATCCAAGGAGGAATCCATTCAAGTTCTTCCTCTTCTTCTAATTTGTATTTTCTTCCTCTCTCTATGAGTTAAACCTCTATGGTTGTTTAAGGGAGTACATTCTAGCATGTAGCTAGACTTTATTAATTGAATGAGAACTTAGCCTGTTTTTTTGTTCAAATAGAGTTGTTAAAACCTCTTTTCATAATTTGAATGCATGGATTGTAAGTTACATATTTTTTCCCTAGGTAGATTTATTGGATGTATGTGAATGTTTCTACCATGGTTAGATGATCTAGAGTCCTTATTGGTGGATGAGGTGATCATCCTCTTACAATTAGGAGCCCACCTAGTTGATGACAGTGAGGTGGGTGCATGACTATCAACTCATCCGACTAGCGTGTAGACTTGTGAACCCATTTAGAGGAGGTAGACCTTACATCTAGTCGGAGAAATCAACTATGGTAGCATTAGGCATGTGGATGCAGTTATAAGGGGGATCGAGGAACATGCCCACTGCACCGATCCCCACTTAAGTGACCTCCTCACCTCATCAAGTTAGGGTTTCATCAATCATGTTCCTATCCTACTGCTAGGAGGATTTGATTATAGACGATTATCTCGTCTCTATCGAACTCCCAACTACTTAATTAGTTGTTGTTGTTAGTTAGGTTAGTTTAGTTCTTAAAGCAATCGTTCTAATTAATTAGATAGTACTTTAGAGCGAAGTAATAATAATTCTAACGAAACTGGGCAGCAGGTAAATCTCACTAAGTCTGAACTATCTTTCACACCGAATCTAACGAATAGTAGGAAGGAGGAGCTTGCAGGGATCCTGGGAATGAAGATAGTACAGTCCCATGAAAAGTATTTAGGCCTACCTACTCTTGTAGGCAGAGAGAAGAAATCTGTCTTTAGCTATCTGGTTGACAGGGTCAGGAAAAAAGTGAAGCTGTGGAAGAGCCGTTTACTTTCAAGTGCTGGCAAGGAAATATTGATAAAAGCAGTAGCGCAAGCTCAAACAACATATGCGATGTCAATTTTCCAAATCCCTAAGGGTATCATCGAAGAGATACAGAGCATTCTATCAAACTTTTGGTGGGGACAGCAGGATAATGAAAGGAGGACGCATTGGAAAAGTTGGAAAGAATTGTGCCGACCAAAGAAAGAGGGAGGTATGGGATTTAGAGAGATGGAAGGCTTTAACTTAGCCCTATTGGGAAAACAAGTCTGGAACTTAGCAAAGAAGCCCACTTCCCTAGCTGCTAGAGTGCTGAAAGCACGTTATTTTCCCCACTCTGATATTTGGAATGCCAAGGTGGGCTATGACCCGAGTTTTGTATGGAAGAGCATCATGGCAGCTAAGGAACTGGTTAGAAAGGGCGTTTGCTGGAGGGTTGGAGATGGTACTAGCATTCATATTTGGGATGACCAATGGCTTATGGGCAAGGAAGAAGTGATTTTGAGTTCCACAAGAACAACCCAGTCACCAACAAGGGTACACGAGCTGATTGACCTAGAAGCTAGAGAATGGAAGACAGCAGTCTTACAGGCCCATTTCGAAGCTGAAGATAGAAGGAGGATCACCAAAATTCCAATTCCAAGGCAACCCTCGACAGACAAACTAATCTGGAGGGCAGAGAGGAATGGAATTTACTCGGTTAAGACTGCCTATTTTAATTGGAGAAGAAAAGAAGAAGAAGGGCTGGGTGAAAGGTACGTGCCAGTGAATTGGAACCAAATCTGGAAACTTCAGATACCCCCAAAGGTTAGAGTGTTTTCTTGGAAGTGGATTAACAACATTCTACCTACTGGAGGTAACCTTGTGGATCGCACTAAGAGAGGAAACGAAGAGTGTCCGTTCTGTGGGCTTAAGGAAACGCAGGTACATCTATTCAGGGACTGTGGGTGGGTTCGGAGAGTTTGGCAACCAACATCGATCAGAAGAATGCTAAATGAAGAAGAAGAACTAACCTGTGAAGAGTGGATTTGTGCCTTGCAAGAGATGGAGTCGGCGGACGAAATTGGAAACTTCCTAGTAGCTCTATGGTTCATCTGGGCGGAAAGGAATTGCCATATGTGGAATAACAAGAAAAAAGAGGAATGGGAGATCATCGATCGGGCCATGCAGTGGTTAGAAGAGTACAAACGGCACCAATTGATACCTGCTGGAGGCGAACGAAAGAAATCGACGCAGTGGAAGTCGCCGCCGGCGGGGAGCTTCAAGATTAATGTGGATGCCGCCATTTTTGAAGGAAATGGATCTGGTTTCGGGGTGGTGATACGAGACACGAACGACGAGTGCTGTCTAGCAGGGGTGAAGCGCACGAGACGACAATGACTCCCCGAATTTGCAGAAGCGGCAGCGATCTCCTTTGGCCTGGAAGTGGCGAAGAGGTACAATTTTTTACCTGGATTGGTTGAAACTGATTGCTTGGTGGTGGTTCAGAGAATACAGAATGAGGATGAGGATGAAACGGAAATGGCAGAAGTGTGTAAGGAATTGCGGGCCCAGCTCCTTGAGGCTGGCGGGCTGAACATCACTTTTGTGGGCCGAGAAGCAAATAAAGCAGCCCACCTGATGGCTCACACACTATGTAATTGGGAGGAAGAGGAGCTTTGGACCTCTAGCCCACCTGTTTTCCTTTCCCCTATTCTTATTTCAGACTGTAATCCTCCAACCATGAATCAGTAATAAAAATCCAGGTCTTCTTACTCAAAAAAAAAATAATTCTAAGATTTCATTGACTTACGATCGAGCCACTTAACTACCCTAATTATATATTTGAAAAGAAAAGAAAAGAAAAAAAAAAACGTTGCACTCCCACACTTCCCAGCTCCAACACGTTGCACCAATTCAACCCACGTGGCTCTCCTCTCCTCTTGTCATCTACGCCCAACATCTTGCCACCGCTTGCAAGCTTCTCAGTAAAATGCCCCTGTGAAGCAAAGATAAACATAGAACCGTTTCCGTGGAAAAAAACGAAAAACAGAGATCATACCATGAGGAAGAGCAGCGCCAACTGGTTGCGCCAGGGCTACAACAAGTTGACTCGAGCAGCTGCAGTTGGCAAAGACCACCCCACCGCCGCCGATCCAAAGCAACAGAACTTCCCAATCCTGGAAGGCCACCCTGCGGCCCAACAACACGCCCAGCAATCCGTCGAGACATTCGACGCGGTCAAGAGCCAGAGCAACAAGCGGTCGCTGCAGACGTCCAAAGAGTTCAAAATCTACCGATGGAACCCGGATGACCCGACCCGCAAACCGTTTCTCCAGTCTTTCTTCCTCGACCTCGCCGACTGCGGCCCGATGGTGTTGGATGCGCTGCAGAAGATCAAAGCCGAGGTGGACCCAGGTCTGACCTACCGGAGATCTTGCAGGGAAGGGATATGCGGGTCGTGCGCGATGAACATCGATGGCACCAACACCGTGGCCTGTCTCGAACCCATCGACCCGGACCCGGCCAAGCCCTTGTTCATCACTCCCCTGCCTCACATGTTCGTTATCAAGGACCTCGTTGTCGACCTCACCAACTTCTACCAGCAGTACAAGTAAATTAACTCCCAAATGCCAATCTCTTTCTTATTAAATCGTTTACTGAACAGATCATATCGGCATAATGATGTCAAGAACCAACAATGAACTCGATCTCTGATTGGCTGGAGTGGGCTGATTGATAGGTCAATTGAGCCGTGGTTGAAGACGAAACGACGGCCGGAGGAAGGGCGAGAGTACAGGCAGTCACCGGAGGACAGGAAGAAGCTGGATGGGTTGTACGAGTGCATCCTGTGCGCTTGCTGCACTACATCCTGCCCTTCCTACTGGTGGAACCCTGAAGAGTTTTTGGGGCCGGCTAGCTTGCTGCATGCGTATCGCTGGATCTGTGATAGGTGAAATTGGTGTGCATGTGTGGTGATTAATTACTATTAATTAGGGTTTAGTTACTCTGTTTGCAATTATCCGGCCAGTTGATTTTTCCTTGGTTAAATGTGTTTTGATTTTTGGTTATTGGTGATGTTGTAGCCGGGATGAGTATACAGAGGAGCGGTTGCAAGCGGTGACAGAGGGGATGCAGAAACTGTACAGGTGTAGGGCTATCAAGAATTGTACTGCCACCTGTCCCAAGAGCCTCAATCCTGCTGACGCCATTCACAAGATGAAGGCCAAGCATTTGACCTCTGTTCATGTCGAGAAGTCGGAGAGCTAAACCTAGCAGCAACTACACACGAAGCCTTCTGGCGTTTGATGGTGTAATTAAGGGCTATCAATATAAGTGCCTTCTCGTTGCCTACCGGTTTAAGCCCGTGACGTGACGGAGTCACGAGTTGGAACTAAGAGTATCCTTGTTTTAGAAAATTTATATATAAATATTTAGTACATATAATCTATAAATAATTATAGGAAAAAATAAAATTAAAAGAAATGATGGTGTGCCAAAAAGAAATTCGAAATTTTCTCTCTTTTGGTCTTTTCCAATATTGTCAACCTGGTTTGGTCCGTTCGAGTGAGTTGGTCAAGGATTAATCGCTGATGCACGTGTCATTCTAGCACGGAACCCATGAGTTGGATATCATCGGGGGAGGGATGGGATGGGGTGCTAACCCCATAGTACGTTAGCACCGTGCTAACCCACATATTCCCTTTCTTTTTTTATCGGCTAATGCAAAAGGAGTAATATTGCCAGGGACATTATTGTAAGTTTGGGTATTTAGCTGTCAAGTCGTGTAAGTAGCGGGATCTTCTTTTGCTAGAAATCAGCGGGATTTTTGGGGGTTGTGAGAAGTTTCTTTTCTTGGGGTTTTCTTCCCAATTTCCTCTCTAGCCTTCCGGCCCAGCAACACCGCCCTCCGCTCCGTCGACGTCGCCCTCCGCTCCCCTCGACACCGCCCTCCGCTCCTTTCGACGCCGCCATTCGGAAACCTCGCCGCCGCCCTCCGCTCCCCTCGACCTCGTCGCCGGCCTCCGATCCTCCCACCTCGTCGCTGCCGTCCTCTGCTCCTCCGAACTCGTCGTGGGCAGTTGATTTCAGCCGATCTTGTCTTCGCTCGTGCCACCGCCTCAGGTAATAGTCAAACCTCTTCAATCTTCTTTCCATCTTTTCATAGGTGCCATTGCATGCCCCTGCCCCGACTCTGATTTCTTTTTTTTTTTCGATCAAGATCTGTCTTGTAGGGAGGTTTCGTGTAGGTTTCCGGATGCTAGCTCTGTTTTGGTTTATGATCGGAGTGGGCAGCAATTTTTTTTTTCCGACGAAGTTCAGTTTTGCAGATGAGAAGGTGAAGAGTCCAAAACGTGGAGTTCGTAGTGTTCGTGGGTGTGAGTGGTATTGTTTCCTTTATAGTGTCTTGTTAGGCTACAGCTGACCGCAGGGTCCAAACCTTTGAGTTCGTAGTGTTTTTGGGTGTGAGTGGTATTGTTTCCTTGGTAGTGTTTCGTGTTATGTTACAGCTAACCGCGAAGTGAGTAAGGGCTTCATACTGGTAGTTATTCACATCCTGCTTAGTAGTGTTTTTGTGTTAATGGTGGTGAGAAAGCTTGGAATTGAACCGTGTTAGTAGTGTTTCTTTTATTAGTAGTGGTGCTAAAGTATGTATCGTATTGGTTTTGTTATTAGTGGTGTTTCTTTTCGCTGCCCGTGCAAAAACGCTACAACTGAAAACACTACACTACCAAAAGCCAAAATCGCTACACTAACATATCTACCTCGTACCAAAACACTACCATAAAAAATATACTACCTTGCATAACGCATCACACGCAACTAAACCTTCACAAACTACCAAAAACAGTACAACAAGAACATTACACTCAAATCTGGCAAACACTACATATTCCCTGTTCAGAGACACTTCAACCAATACACACGCAACAAACCCCATAGAAACACTACCACCACTACACACCCATCCACCTTTACAAACCATACAAACTCACAAGTACTACTGGACAAACCACACCGCCAAACAGTAATATCACTCACTACAACCACTACCATGTAAAAACGCTACCACTAATATCCCTACAGCACACCTCCTTTAACATCCCAGAAATTGCATTCCCGACGTTACTCATATATGGTGGTACAGAATAAATGATTACAAAACACAAGAAAATTCACGGCGTACCATCACTGATCTCCGAGAGAGAAAGAAAATGGAGGCAGTTAATTAAAAAGAAAGAGGGAGACGGTAAAGAATAGAGAGAGAAAGATAATGATGGGAGTGAAAGAAGAGAGCCGCTGGAGAGAGAAAGAGAATAAATTAGATTTAAGTTTCCCTAGAAATTAGCATTAATTTCAGTTTTTTTTTATTTTTCCTGTTATATTCCTTATTTGCCCTTTGTTAGCACGGTGCTAACCATCTATAAAGTTAGCACCCTATCTTCTCCCCATCGGGGGATGGCCTGACATAGAAGCATGGTGAGTTAAGGAATCTGCTATGAATTCACTAAACCATGTATGTATGTGGCAATTATCGAACCGAAGTGCGTCTAAGAAAACACTATAGGAGCTTTCTTAGGCAATATCATTCTTTCTGCTTTTCCCTCATCTACTTGTTTAATTTGGTGTTATTATTTCTTTTAATTCTCGAGACAAACCAAGGGGAATCTCACCCTGGAGATATCTCAACTTTCATATTCGTTATAAATCCAAAAAAACATGTCCTTTACTAAATGAATAAGGAGACGTGAGAATGCTGAAGGAAATAAGATCTTGGTGAACGCTAGAAAAATGCACGTAGTTCTATATCATTTTTGCATATATGTTGCCATTATCACTTGGAATTGCTTGTTATTTTTTCAAAGGTATGTTTAGAGCATTTGGGTATGGTTTTTTTTAAATGATTTAAATATTTTTCTGTAGTATTTTGTACGTTTTCAGACGATAACATCCTAGTCGGTCACCTTTGTACAGTGGCGTAGCCAGGAATTTAGGTAAGGTGGGTCCAACGCAAAAAAAGTTCTTTTAAATGTTTGACAATGATCAATGACGTATTTTCAAGTGCACTTTCTTCAGATGAAAACCAAGGCTTAATGTGATATACCAAAAGATGTTGTGACAATGTTGGTGGTGGTGTTGAACTAAAATGTGGTCTAGCCTCCCTTGATCCATTAGCTTCATGCTCACGAACATTTGGGTTTGTGTTGTTCAAATCCACACATGACACATCCATTGATAAAAGAAATAAACACAAATTAAACCCAACATCAAATAATTCAATTAAAAGGAAAAATGTTCATTTATGAAGGGTTTTTTGTCATGTATGACCGTCTCCATTACTACATTATGCGTATATATGAATATACATATTTTGTGTGTTTAAAACTTACGTATATGTATTATTGCGTATTGACAGACCATTTCATTTTTTCTTGTTCATTTGATAACTCGTATACTAAACACGTATAAAACCTGTACATGATATTTAATATGCGTAGTTAATGAATTAAATTTGATATTTCATCAATTTCAATGGGAGCTCGTAACACATGCACGTGGTAAACAAAACTTTACATAACACAAAGGGATGGGGCGTAGTGTAGAGCGGTGGAGGAAATTTGTGTCAAATGAGAAGGTGAGCAAGGTTACATTATTCTCAAGTGCATATTGTCATTGTTCCTTGTCCAAGCTCAAGGTGGGTCCCGGGACCCACCCACTCTTGAGCTGCCTCCGCCACTGCCTTTGTACGAGCTAAAGACAGAAGGACCAATGTGCTGGAAGTCATAAATGACTTTGAGGCCCAACCAAAAATAGCAGGCAAAAGCCCAAAACAAAAAATGGCAGCCCGTATGCCATTTTCTCAAGCGCGGTTTTCAAATTTTGACCACCTAAAAATGGAAACCAGTCAAACCACACTCATTGTATATATTAGCTTCCACCGTCTTTCTGTGCAGTAGCTGCATTTAAAAAACGTCTACTGTTTGGCGATATAATTAGTAGTGGTATTTGAGAATTCGTGGAGGCCTCTTTAAAGTGGAGTGTTTTCATTCTGTAGATATGGAGCTGTAGTTACTGTTCACCACTGAGTTTAGTGCGGCCTAGCATTTTGAGCAGACCAATTGCTGGCTGTTGAAGCTCAAAATTGCTTGTAATCCAAGTAACTAATGTATCAAGGGGTTGAATTAAAACAAAAATTACCCAAAACACTTAAGATTAACTGATCACAGAGCGTAAGCAACTTGAGACACGGTTAAGTTAAATTTGATACCCTGAAGACGAATAGACGATGTCTAATCTAGATAAAGAATAACAACAATAGGTAAGACATTGCCACCTCGGACATCCTTTGAACACCTATTAAGGATGCCAGACTTAAACCTAGACAATTAACTGATCACAGCAAGACGAAAAAAAACTGCCACAGGCACACCAGAAGAAGCATCATGGGGACTTGTCTTCCAACGCCAATACGTGAGCTCCCCCCAATCCCCATCACGGCTGGTCTTGGCGCAGCTTGAATCACAGGGAAGGCTGAAAGTTTGCGAAAAGCCAGAGGAGGAGGAAATTTTGTTGTAATGGAGAGTGAAACAAGAAACACAAACAAAGATAGTTTTTAGACCAAGTAATGAACATGACAAAAAAAATGAATGGTATATTCATTACCTGGAACAGTGGAATTAGGGTGATGTCCAATTGAATCTGTAGACGAATTGGTGTGTGCAACTCGAGGAGAGGCAGGGAGATTTGCACCCGCTGGAGGAACTTGCGAAGAACAAGCAGCAGAAGGATCGACATGGAGGTCGCAGAGGAAAGGAAGGCGAGAGGCGAGGGTTGTGTTGATGGGGAAGCCGCCGAAGTCAGGGGCGTTGAGGACGAGGCAGAGGCATGAAGGCTGGCGGTGGTAGAGCTGAAGGAGGTTGCTGCAGCATGATTGGAGTGGTGAAGCAGAGAGGCCTTGCACGAATGGGGAGCACGGGGTGAGTTGGAGCAGCCCTGGAGTGCAGTCGGTGATGGTGGGAGATTGGGAAGTGGCGACTTCTGTGGCTGAAGCAGTAGCCAGCAGCAGCAGGAGGAAGAAAGCCATGGAAGAAGTGGTGGTGGGGAGTGGAGGAGAGCCGTGGCAAACTGGCATGCTTTTGATTTGCAGCAGCTTGAATTCAGGGGAGGGGGCAGCTGTTTTGTCTCTTCTTTATTGCTCCTTTTGCTGCTGTAGTTAGCTAGTGAGTTTCACAAAGAAAGAGAAGGGAGAAATGGGGTTGGAGTTTTAAGATTGATGGTAATGAAGGGTGCATTTTTTTGGAGTGGTGGTGTGAAGTTGGTAAATGCATTGTGTGTGTGTACGTGGATTTTGTGTTGCCTAACCCTGCATGCATTTCATGTCCACTCTCTCTCTCTCTCTCTCTCTCTCTCTCTCTCTCTCTCTCTCTCTCTCTTCCCAATTCAACTAACCCTATGACTATGAGATCGCAGAATAAGGAAGAATAGAAGAAGCAATCAAGCATACAAGACAAGTATTCCTATTCGTTGTGAACGGGATATATCTGCGGTGGGTTCTTCGGTGCACTCACAAAAATGAGTCCATACAATAGACTCAACTTTAAAAGTAGTGTCAAGACATTGAATTTTGAATTTTAATTGGACGTTAGTCAGATATGATGATAATAAATATGATCATAACTAATCAATCCATTACCCTAAACCTTCAATTTTGACCTAAACCCCAAATTATAAACTCTAAAAATCTCTAAACTCTAAAGCCTTCAAATCAAAGTAAACTCTATAATTACTCGATGGGGTTGAAGCGAGGGAAACAGGGCCAGATGGTGCTGAAGATAGATTTGGCCAAGGCATACGATCGGCTCAGCTGGGAGTTCCTTTGAAATACACTCCAGGAGGCGGGGTTCCCGGAGAAGCTAATGGCTGTGATCATGCAGTGTGTCTCATCTTCCACTCTTCAGGTTCTCTGGAATGGCGAGACAACTGAACCATTTGCCCCTTCCAGAGGACTCAGACAGGGATGTCCCCTCTCACCGTACCTGTTTACATTATGCATGGAGCGGCTGAGTCATCTCATCGAGCAGGCGGTCGAGGAGGGAAGATGGAAGCCGATCAGACTTAACCCGGGTGGCCCCCCGCTCTCTCACCTTTTTTCCGCTGATGATTTAATCTTGTTTGCAGAAGCGAGCCTAGCACAGGGGGAGGTCATTATGGATTGCCTGGAGCAATTCTGCCAGGCTTCGGGTCAGCAGATTAGCAAGGAGAAATCCGTGGTGTTTTTCTCGGGAAACACTAAGAGGCCGACTAGTGCAGCCATTGCTCAACACCTCGGCATCCCTGCAACGCAAGACTTGGGATGTACCTTGGTGTCCCGGTCCTCCATGGACGGATCAACAAAGCTCGCTACCCACTTATGCGATGCAAACGACTCTGCTGCCAATTTCCATTTGTGATGAGATAGATAAAAGGATCCGGCGGTTCATCTGGGGGTCCACTGCTGAGGCTCGGAAGGTCCATCTAGTCCACTGGGAGGGCATCTGCAAACCCAAAGAAGAGGGGGGTCTGGGGCTCAGAAAAGCTCATGAGCTGAATATCGCTTTCCTAACGAAACTTGCTTGGCTGTTCGTGAAAAAACCTGATGAACTGTGGGTTAAAGTGTTGCAGGCTAAATACTTTAAACAGGTTAACGGGGGGATGCAGGCAAAGTCAATGGCGAGAGCATCCAACCTGTGGCGGGGTATCAGGAAGGCATGGCCAGTAATGACGCTGGGCATGAAAATGAGCATCAGAGACGGGTTGGAAACAAGCTTTTGGACGGATAGATGGGTGGACTCGGGAGAGATGCTCATAGACCATGCGCTAGACTCAAGCCCCCCTATAGACCCCGCCCTCCCTGTGGCCCACTTTGCTACTGATGGTGAGTGGAATGTTCAACTCTTACGCGCATATTTGCCTGAGGAGTTTGTCTTGCAGGTTGTGGGCGTTCAACCGCCAAGAGAAGGGTATGGAGCCGACTCCCCAACTTGGGGACAGGAGAAGGATGGACGCTTCCGGGTCAAATCAGCGTACCAGCTCATTTGCCAAGGAGAGGAGGAGAGGAACACCGTCGACTGGCGAGCTATTTGGCGTTGGAGAGGACCAGCCCGTGTCACCCACTTCCTCTGGTTAGCAGCAAGAGAGCGCCTCCTCACCAACGTTGAAAGACACAGGAGGCATCTATCAACCACGAACATCTGCCCCCAATGCAAAGCGGCTCCTGAAACAGTCTTGCATGTGTTGCGAGACTGCGAGTTTTCCAGGTTAACTTGGATGCAGTTCATTCAGCCTTCTGACCACCATCGGTTTTTCAGATCCCAGCTGCAGGAGTGGATTCAGAACCATATTTGACAGGACCTCACTAGTATGGAGTTCGGCATTGTCTGCTGGTCCCTGTGGAGGACCAGGAATGATCGAGTCTTCGCAGGCAAGATCACGACCACTGCAGCCTTTATACAGCGCGTCCGGACATGGATTAATGTCGTGCGGAATGCCTTGGACAAAGACAGGCTAATCCACCAGCCTCGTCTGCCCATGAGAACGGAGGTGGAGATCTCTTGGAAGCCGCCACCTCCCGAGTGGGTTACTCTCAACTCTGACGGCTCTGTTCATACTGAGTCAGGTCAGGCAGCTGCCGGTGGCCTGATTCGAGATCATACTGGGCGCTGCCTTGCAGCGTATGCTATGAACCTGGGGAGCTGCTCTATCACCCGGGCTGAGTTGAGAGGCGCTGTAGAAGGGTTGCAGTTGGCTTGGGACACGGGTTTCAGACGTGTCAGAGTGGAGCTTGATTCTCTCTGTGCGGTTCAGCTCCTCAGCAGCTTGAACCCCCCAGATCATCAACAGGCGGCCATTATCCAGAGATTCAAAGAGCTGCTCACTCATCAATGGGAAGTTGTTGTTTCCCATATTTATAGAGAAGGGAATAAATGTGCTGATCATCTTGCTAGTAGAGGGCATCTGTTGCCTCTAGGTTATCACTCCATCTCCTGTTCTGATCCCACCCTGTGTAATTTCATTATGTACGATTGTCAGGGGCTCTCTGAACCCCGTTTGGTTTTGAATGAAGGCTGAGATGCACTGCATCCATTTACCAAAAAAAAAATCAAAGTGAATCGTGAATGATTTTCGTAGAAATTAATGTGTGTTTTGGTCCATCATATCACAAGTCAAGATTGATATATATTGACACGAATTTTCTACTCACTCTGATGATTATGAGGCGAGTGCATAGCATGCACCCGAAAAAGTTAGTACCCAGAAGACAAAACCATACATTCATAGATTCTCCTATTTAGATGAACCAAATTCATCGATTGATATTTTTGATTACGTTGATTTTCGAGAAATTGACTCATCTAAGTGAAAAAGGTACAAAAAATTCTACCAAGATTTTAACAAGACATATTATTTATAAAATATTTCGGTCGGTTCGGTTCAAACCGAACCGAAATTATGCATACTGGGTCTCCGAATTCTATCAAACCTCAAACCGAATTCGGTCGGTTCAAACCGAATTATAATTCGGTTCGGTTCGATTTTTCATACAAAACCGAAATAGTGAGGTTAGCTTGTATCTTCTCTTTTTTAAATTATTTTTCACCCTAATAAATATGCATCATCAATGATAAAATCAAATATTTCAACACATAAGTCATAAAATACTAACATGATTCAAATATTTAAGTCTCATAATAAGTAGAAACATAAAAATCCACCATTTAGAGCTTGCAATTACAATAATTCGATTTTTCGGTTCGGAATTTGGAAATTCGGTTCGGTCGAAAAGACCCTGATTTCCGAAATATGTCATTTTCTCTTCCGAATCGAATAACATTAATTCAGTTTCGGTTCGGTTTATATTCGGTTCGGTTAGGTTCGGTTCGGTTTTACCGAACTGTATGCCCACCCGAGGAAGTGTCATGAATGCATGTTCATGCGTGGTGGATGTCCTTCCATTGTATGCCCATGATTGATTGAACAATGGACATACATGTGAGGGTATGGAATTGAATTAATTGATAGGGTGAATTGTGGTTATCCCAAGTCAAACTCTTTTCCTACGTATAAGGATATGCTTTGGAGATGAAGAGAAGATACACACATACTCCTACTCATATTCCTACTTCTTACTCATGTATATACTTTAGTTTAAAATATGTTTTTAGCAGTAAATAGAACAGTTCCTTCTTATTTACTATTTGTTGTCTTTGGTGTTCATATTTCTTATTTTTAAAAAATTATTTTAAAAAATTTATGGGATTTTCAAAAGTCTCATCATATTCCCTCTTTCTGAAAATTGACAATATAAAACCGGCATGTCAGATAATCACTTAAAAGTTCAAAAAAGCTAAACGAAATGTAGATTGATCCACTATGATACAACAAATTAAAATCTAGGAAAAAAAAGAGGATTAACCACTTTCTTACACGATGCCCCAAACAAAAGTCAATTGAGGGTTTGAATTTTGCATAGACTTATCATAATTGGAGAGATCCAACAAAGTGTATGCCATTGGGAGATAATTTACCCGTTACGATTTCTCAAGACTCAGTTTAGAAAACCAGAAGTTCAATGAAAACCAAAATTAGGATTAGAGGTTCTCTATTATCGAGTTAAAAGGTTAATCGCAATACAACGCCTGAAGCTTAATGGAATCCTAGCCGATAACTCAACAAGAATGACTGGTCAAGAAAAAAGTTTCAATCGCAATTCGATATCGTGGGCGCTCTCCGCTGACTCATCATTGTCTTAATAATTTCTTAAGATAGAAGTTAGGACGAAGTTGATAGCCACTATCCTACAACTTTTAAATATTTACTTAATATCAAGGTTAAAAAAGGCGTTAGGCGTAAGGCGGGTGTTGAGACTTTGCCTAGCGCCTAGCTCTCCTAGGCGTAGACTAAGCGTGCCTAGGCGTTGGAAGAAAAATAGTTCTTTGCACTGCATGATGAATTAACTAATGATATACAACACTTCCTCACTTCAGTTAAAATGATTAATAACTTACTCAACACTTAATGATAAGAATATAACTCAAGAATTCATAGAATCATAACTCAATAGCTCACAAAGTTCTTGAGCTATAGAAAATATTGATATAGAAAATTGATTTCGTAGTTGAAGTTGATTTTCTCCATTAATATTGACTTCCTCCATCTATTAATGTTTAGAAGAGACGTATATGTCACCTCACTCCATTGACATGTTCATGTATATAATTAGGCGCGAAACCCCTAGGCGAGGCATTTTGTCATTGCCTTGCGCTTAGGCGTGCCTAAGTGTAAGGTTAAGCGTGCATTTTTTAACCATGCTTAATATATACTTGTACATGTTATCCTTGAATCGAATATTGATAGAAAATATAACACATCTTGTCTCGTGTAAACATATAGTTGCACCTCTAAACAACTTGTCCGTGGATTAAAAAAAATTAATGTTGAAACTCTCTGCAAAGCCAAGGCTTTATGCTCAAGTCTTGAGCACAAAAGAAGTGTCTTCGAATAATAAAGTTTGCGAACAAGTCGTCGTAAACTCAAACTAACTAACGAAATAATAAATGACAAAACTGAATGCTGAAGTGGGGCACCACACTAATTAACAAGTCCTTCCACCGACAGAAATTTGTAAACCTCCACAATTCATCCACATGCTTCGCCATCATCATCTGTTTCGTTGTCCTGTTCCTTCCTGCCAACCCCAAAAGATAGCCCCCATCAAAAGAAAAAAATGGTTCTGATGACTTTATCAGATAGCCCACCCATTATTCTGTTTTCAGTGTCGACATTCCAACACATTCTCTGCCCCCAACACTTCGCAAATCCTCCTAAACAGTTGAGAAAAAACTTTGGCCGAACGCTCCAGTTGATTTCCTCCTCCTCCTCCGCCAACCAGTCAATCAATGGTGTTCAGCATGACATCTTGGGCGAAGAAGGAGATCTCCAAACTTGTTGGAACCCCGAGACTACTAATTACCCAGCCTCCTCAGCCTCAACCTCAACCTCAGGTGGGTCTATATTTGTATAGAGAATTACGTGGGGCTTAAACTATAAATAGGGTATTTGTTGATCTCAAGTTTCCCGATGATACCAAGTTCTTTTGGTGATGGGCTTCTCAGGGTGAAATTGTGGAAGTTGTGGTGGCAGCTGACTTGAGATGCTCCAAGTGCAGAGACAGAGTGGCTGATGCCATTTCAACCATGGATTTCGTTGGTAAATTTGTTCATTTTTATTATCTTACTTCTTACCCTTATTCATTAATCAATGAACAGAATCTTTATGCTACGTAAGTGAACAGAGGGTGTCTTGATTGAATGCTGAATTTGCAGCAATGGAGTCTGTTGAGGTGGATGTAGGAAGAAAGGAAGTGACCCTTCTAGCTCACCACTCTGCTCTATCGAGGAGGAACTGACAACATTACTGGTTTTCTCATTTTCACTGCTCAGCTAGTGTGCCTGATGCTCTGTTTTCGGCAACATTTTTTTGGTGTGAACAGAAACTAATGACCGTTCCTCCCTATTTAAGTTCGTGATGATCAATTGTTTAATTTCTTCTGTGGCGTATCGGTGCATGCCGTAGAGTGCTCAATGTTGATAACACCTATCCTATGATGTAAAGATTGTATCGGGAATTTTGTTGGACCGGTTTGGTATTGAATATTGATGGCAGTGAAAATAACGGTTGAATAATCAGTTAGGTGGTAATGGTAATCTCGATAAGCATTCCCAATCTGATATGTCGTCTAATAATAGTTAATCACTAACCGATGCAACTAATCACAAATATAAATTGTTTATCTTCTAATTTGAGTTTGAATTTAGAATGTATGGTTGATGATAGATTTGAATCGTTGATATTATACCTTTTTATTTTTTATGATAACTAATGCTGGATATGGCAATGGGTCGATTTATTAAGTAATTTAATTCAATTGCCCTGAGTCATGACTCATAATCATGTCCATAAAAACACATCCTCAAGTTGTCCATCAATTCAGTAGGTGGAAATTTTACTTGTATTAAAGAGAACTAGCAACTAACATACCATCCAAAACTCGGTTTTTTGCAATGAAAAGATGTCTCGCATGTTGGACTTACCCCACACTTTATTTCTCAAGATAGCATTACAATTTCGAATGAAAACAATGTCTTGATAGGTAGATTTTTGCATTTTCCCCATTATACAGTTTACCCTTCGAAAACTTTTGAAAACAGAAGACTCTTTTGCATAGTCTGAAATCTTTGAATAGATCAAATAACATGGCATCCAAACACATCAAAAGACCATTATATCCCATTGACTATCACATTCTTCATAGGCACTACACTATCCTCCCTAGATCAAGTGATGATTACTAGACTCGTTAATTCAAAGTAAGTGATAAGTGATAATGCTAGTAGGGATGACTAACGTTATTAGATGGAAAACATATTTAACACTTTCAATATCGTTTAAGCACATATCTCAACTATGTAGCATTGAAAATTTTATTGAACAACTAATCATATAGCAAGTAAATAGCATATCAACCACGGACGGCTTAGGATCATATTCAGAAGCCAGTGTTCATATTTTCTGTGGCACAAAGAGGGCTCTGGAAGGACTTGTTAGACGGTGTAGTTTTGCTCCAGTGTACATAGCCCACAAACACGAGCCCACTCCTTTCTTTTCTTTCATTTATTCGGCCCATGCAACCCATGCATCGTGATCATCATTCTGATGCTAGGGTTCGGCCAGGTCCTCTCCTTTGTGAGAATGTATATATGTTGAACTGTTGCTCTTTGGTAGGTTAAGCCGTCAATCTAATAACACCAGTAGCCTGGAGAGTGTTCTAAGCTCTCCCGTGGATTAGTCCTGATCATCAGGGATACCACGTAAATCGTTTGTGTTCGTTATTCTGTTCAGTTCAGTTCTTATTATTTTCCGATCAGTTCGTTAACATGGTATCAGAGCTTAATGCTATGGATTCTGAGAGACCTACTGTTCAGCTGAGTTCTACCAACTATTCCCTTTGGGAATTCCAGTTCAGAGTGTTCGTTGAAGGCAAGGGATTGCTAGGGATTCTTGATGGAACCATTCCGAAGCCGGCCGCAAATTCTCCCGCACAAGAAATCGCCGCTTGGACTCAAAGCGACGCAAGGGTTCGATCATTGCTTCTGCGATCGGTTGACTCGTCCACGTGCCTGAGCCTCCGCCTGTTCCCGACGGCAAATCATATCTGGCGGCACCTGGCGTCCACGTATTCCACAGTGAATTCGGCGCGGCAGTTCGAGATTCAGACGGCCCTTGCTCGGCTGGAGCAAGGCGACCTCACGGTGACTGAGTATTTTAATCGGGCTCAGGAGCTGTGGACCGAGCATGACCTCCTCATGGTGGCTCTCCGACCGCAAGTCGTGCCCACCGAAGATGCTCTTGTTGAACGGCAGCAAACAAGGTTACTTCAATTTCTTATGCGTCTCCGGCCAGAATTTGAACCGGTTCATTCGGCTTTGTTGAACAAGGATAATCTCAAGTTTGAAGGGATTCTCGCCCAGCTCGTCCGCGAAGAGTGTCGTCTTCGTACCCAGGCCCGTTTTGACGTCCGCCCCGGTGAAGGTGAGGCGGTCTTTGCCGCCAGTTCTGCCTCGGATCCATCCGCCTATGCTGTGAGTAGGCCTCAATTCCAGCGCAGTGTACTTGTAGCTGAGCTTGAATGTCATTTTTGTAGAGAGAAAGGCCATGTTCGTAAGCATTGTCGTCGTGCAAATTTCTGTGTTTATTGCAAGAGAGGCGGTCACATTGTGCTTGATTGTCATCAACGTCAGCGCAATGAAGCTCGCGCGGCTGGCGTGGGTGGTAGTGCTCCTAATCAAGACAGGCCATGGGATCGCTCGGCTGGTGCAAATGGTGATCGTCCATGGGGACGTACTGCTGCTGCCGTGCGTCCATGGGATCGTTCAGCCCGTGCGCAATTCCCTGGTGAGATGAATAATGGTGGCGCTCGGGGTCGGCAAGCCTATGCCGCCCAACCAGTTGCCGAACATCCTCTTGTGGCTGGAGTGAATTCTTTTTCGGCTGCCGATGTTGAACAGATGGTCAATGCAGCTCTTCAACGTTCGTTGCCGACTGCCATTAATGCTGCCTTTGCCACTATCCAAGGTTCAGGTAAAGAGAATACTTGGATCCTTGACTCAGCCTATTTTAACCATATGACTTCCGATTTACATTCCTTGAATAATTTGGTTCCGGTTAAGCATATGGGTTTACGTGTTGCTAATGGAGAACAGTTAGGTGTTCATGGGATTGGTACAGTGACCGAGCCGCAGTTCAGTTTGACTAATACATTACATGTACCTAAGTTGGTTCCCAACTTAGTCTCTGTCGGGCAACTTACTGAGCATGATTGTTCTGTTTTGTTTACACCGTCTGGGTGTTCTATACAGGATTTGAAGACGGGGAGGCAGATCGGAAAAGGGAGTAAACATGGGAGGATCTTTCATCTAGAGGAGCTTCGTCATCCTTCAGAGTCGTCTTTCGTCAGTAGTCATCCTCATAGGTCTGTCAGTAGTCAGTCATCCATTTCTTCTTCTTGTTTTTCGAGTCAGCCAGATAATGTTTGGGACCTTTGGCATGCTCGGTTAGGACATCCTCATTGAGATCGTCTTGTCTAGATGTTTAGACAGTCATTACTTGGCAAAAATAATGTTCATTTCCATGCTCATCATTCATGTACTAGTTGTGTTGAGGCTAAAACTGCTAGCATATCTTTTCCCTCTAGTACCACTGTCATCACAGAACCTTTTCATGTCATTCATACCGATCTCTGGGGTCCTGCTCCCACCTTGTCTCGCCATGGTTTTCGATACTTTGCTCTTTTTATTGACCATGCCACCCGCTTTACTTGGATTTATTTTCTTCGATTAAAATCAGATCTTCGTGCTGTTGCTACTGAATTTATTCAAATGATCAAGACACAATTTGGAAAAACAGTTCGAATAATTCGATCCGATCCGGGTGGAGAGTTCAGTTCCTCTCCTCTTCATGATTTGTATCGTTCCCTTGGTATTTTGAGTCAGATGTCTTGTCCTGGTGTGTCCCAACATAATGGTCTTGTAGAACGTAAAAACCGCCATGTCGTTGAACTTACTCGAGCCCTCCTTCTTGCTTCTCGAGTTCCCAGTCGTTTTTGGCCAGAGGCTGTTGCTACTGCAGTGCGTCTTATAAATTATCAGATCACCCCTGTTTTGAATCATACCAGCCCCTTTTTTGCTCTCTATAATCGTCATCCTGATTACTCTAGACTGCGTGTCTTTGGGTGCTTATGTTTTGTTCTTCGTCCTAAACGAGAACGCACCAAACTTTCATCTAAAACTGCTCGATGTGTGTTTCTCGGCTATAGTGACGTTCATAAAGGGTATTTATGCTATGACCCTGAGTTACAACGTATGCGCATTGCCTGCACTGTTGTGTTCTTTGAGCATCTCATGTTTCACGAGTCTAGTCCTTCTTCGCCAATTTTTTCTCCATCCCTATCCCTTCCCATTTTTGGTCCTCATGATGATGAAGAAGATCCTCCCCACGCGCCCGCTGATCCTCCTACACCCGATCTGCTTCCCCATAGTCCCTCCTCCTCGGCATCACCCTCAACATCTCCCAGCTTGTCTTCGCCTTCTACCAGCTCCAGCTCATCTTCATCATCTACTGCTGCTAGTTCATCTCCCAGCTCGTCTTCAACAGCTATGTCGCCCACACCTCCTCCTAGTCCTCCGCAGCTTCGTCGATCACAACGGGTAACTCAAGGTATTCCACCGCCTAAATTTCATGATTATGTAGCTCACGGCGTCGATACCTTTGTTGTGCCTACTCGCTACAAACAGGCCCAAGGTGATCCAGTATGGGACATGGCTATGAAACGAGAGCTTGATGCCCTTCATGTGAGTAACACTTGGACTCTTGTTCCTCGGCCCCCATCTTCTCAGTCTGTTATTGGTTGTCGGTGGGTTTACACTGTCAAGATGCACCCAGATGGCACAGTGGATCGGTACAAGGCCCGTCTGGTAGCTCAAGGTTTTACACAGGAACTCGGGGTTGATTATACTGAGACTTTTGCTCCGGTTGCCAAGATGTCCACCGTTCGTACTTTGTTAGCTGTTGCTGCCCAGAAAAATTGGCCTCTTTATCAAATGGACGTAAAAAATGCCTTTCTTCATGGCGACTTGGATGAGGAAATTTATATGGAGCTGCCTCCGGGTTACACGCTGGGAACTTCAGATCAAGTATGTCGTCTTAATCGCTCTTTATATGGTCTTAAACAGGCGCCTCGTGCCTGGTTTGAGAAATTTCACTCCACGATTGCCGCCCTTGGTTTCACACAGAGTCTCAATGATCCTTCCCTGTTCACTAAAACTTCCTCGGCCGGCATTGTTGTTCTTCTCCTATATGTTGATGATATGGTTATCACTGGTACAGATTCTGCGGGTATTAACAGTCTTAAGCAGGGTCTTCATGCTACCTTCAGTCTTAAGGATTTAGGTGACCTCTCTTATTTTCTTGGTCTGGAGGTATCTCGGAACTCTACTGGTCTTCTTCTCAGTCAACGCAAGTATATTTCTGATCTGTTAGCGGAGAATAACTTTGCTGATTGCAAACCGGCTTCTACACCCATGGAACTTAATTTGCGTCTCGGTCGTGATTCCGGTGATCCCCTGCCTGACGGTCGTTCTTATCGCAGCATTGTAGGGAGCCTCATTTATCTTGCTGCGACTCAACCAGATATCTCATATGCCGTACAGGTTGTTAGTCAGTTTATGGCCGGTCCCTGTTCTGATCATCTCGCCGCGGTTCATCGAATTCTCCGTTATTTACAGGGCACTCGTGAGGTGGGTATTTTCTTTCCAGCTGGCGGTGAGGCTACTCTTCGGGCGTATTCCGACTCTGATTTTGCTGGTTGCGTTGACACCAGACGTTCTACTTCTGGTTGGTGTGTTCAGTATGGTCCAGCTTTCATTTCTTGGCGTTGCAAAAAGCAGGACAAGGTTTCCAAATCATCTACTGAGGCGGAATATCGATCGATGTCTGAAGTTACTTCTGAGCTCGTTTGGCTACATCGCCTTCTCTCTGATCTGGGTGTGCAGTGTACGGCTCCTATGCAGCTATTTGTGGATAATACGAGTGCTATTCGTATTGCAGTTAATCCGGTGCTCCATGATCGCACCAAGCACATTGAAATTCATGTGCATTATGTACGTGATCTTGTTCGTGATGGTACTCTTGCTCTTCATTACATTTCTACCGCCGAACAGCCTGGTGATCTTCTCACCAAGTCTTTCTCCTCCAATCGTAATTGGTATCTGTCGAGCAAATTGATGCTTTGCGACCCGCATCAATTTGGGGGAGGCTGTTAGACGGTGTAGTTTTGCTCCAGTGTACATAGCCCACAAACACGAGCCCACTCCTTTCTTTTCTTTCATTTATTCGGCCCATGCAACCCATGCATCGTGATCATCATTCTGATGCTAGGGTTCGGCCAGGTCCTCTCCTTTGTGAGAATGTATATATGTTGAACTGTTGCTCTTTGGTAGGTTAAGCCGTCAATCTAATAACACCAGTAGCCTGGAGAGTGTTCTAAGCTCTCCCGTGGATTAGTCCTGATCATCAGGGATACCACGTAAATCGTTTGTGTTCGTTATTCTGTTCAGTTCAGTTCTTATTATTTTCCGATCAGTTCGTTAACAGGACTAAGTTCTCATGGGATATTTTGGCTTCTCCAAAGAAGAAAGTCAAACCAGGACTGAAGGATCTATAGTCTTGAAGCATCTCATGTTTGGCTTGCCTCCTAAGACTGCTGTTTATGCATGGAGGGAGCTTATGGGTGGCATGGATTGAGTGACATCGACTTAAAGGTTGGTATGTTTGGACTCTGCAATCAACTGGTCTTGGGTTGTGGGCGTGGAGTCAACTACTCAAGCATAGGAGCTAGTTTAGATACATATTGGAGGTATCGTCATTCGTCATTGGGCATGGTAACGTGGGAAGGCATACATATGCCCAAGTTTACTGTATATAAAGTTTGGGATTCAATACGAGATAAAAAGCAGGTTGTCCTGTGGTGGCTGCTTTTATGGAGCAAATTTGTTATACCTAAACACCGGATGATTGTTTGGTTGATTATTCATAACAGAATTTCAATGCGAGATAAGGTGAAAGTGTGGGACAACATTATTGACAGTACCTGTGTGTTGTTTTCTGCAGAAGAGGAGAGCAGAGATAAGTTATATGGTCATTGTGTATGTACTAAGAACATGCTTGCAGCAGTGTTGGTTCTTTACTTCGAATGTGACCTTCCAATAGCGAAACCTTACTGAATGAAGTTTTTACTATTAGCCGATGTAGAAGCAAGTTTGGGAAGGTATTTAGCTCAATATGGTGTAGGAACTATTTACTTCATTTGGACTGAAAGATGTCGCTGCGTTTTTCGTGGACAATGTTTGGGTTGGCCAGAGTTAGTGTTGAAGTTTAGAGATGACGTTTTTTTTTTGTCATGGAAAACAGTGATTTCTCTACAGAGTTAAAAAAAAGTGTGAGGTGCTTAGAGATTTGATTTAAAAGTGAACCGACTTGTGGTCACTTTAAGTACAAGGTTGTTAAGGTTTTTCTTGATCCTTGATCACCTTGATCGGGAGAGCTTAATAAGATTTTGCTAATAACCGGGTAATTTTTTTTCCTTCTTATTGGTCACCGATTTTGACTTCTTATTTCATCGTTGGTCACTGGTCGTCCAACTCCGTTAAATTCATCCTATTCGACAGTCATATAAACAAAATTTATTTTTATTTGTTTAGTTTTTCAGTTGACATATTAGTAGTTAATGATCAACCATTATAGCTGACTGCCACATAAGATGAATTTAACGGAGTTGAACAGCCAGTCACCAAGGATTAAAGTCAATGACCAATAGAAAAGAAAAAAATCAGTGACAAACGTAAAACAAATTCATAAACCGAGTAACCAAATATGCAATTCATCCAGAAATAAGTATTTTAATGAATATTTTTACTCAAGACCGGGGAACAACAAATTCGTTTGTTCTTTCTTTGCCGAAAAGAAAATCTGAAAATTAAGCTCCCTTCCGACGACGACGGGCCCCGGGATCGGTGGTGGGAAAGAAAAAGGAAAAGTCATATATTAGGTTTTCTTTTTTAAATTTGGACAATTGACAGGCGGGCAGGTAGGCACCAAAGGAAGAAGAAAAAAAAAGCGAATCACATAATTAAAAATGAATCCTCCAGAACCAGAAGAAGACATTCTAATTGAGGCTGACGAGTGGGTGATGCAGTAAAAGCCCTTTTAGACTTTTGTTTTTCCCCTTCCCACCTCCGCTTCCGTTCCCTCCGCTTTGCTTTTTCTTCCCTCAGCGCTCTCTCTCTCTCTCTCTCTCTCTCTCTCTCTCTCTCTCTGCTTTTATTTAACTAATCTATCAACAAACGAATCAGATTCTTCTTAATTACTATCAAAAGATTTTTTACTAACCGTACGTAACGCCCCCCCTCCCTCCTAATCTTTGATTACTTACTTTTTTTGAGTTTTTCCCTCCTAATTGCCTCCTCACCTATTCTATTTAATTCCTTCTTCTTTCTTTCCTCTCCTCTCCTCTCCTCTCATCTCATCTCCTCACCCAAACTCCACCTTATATTCTCTCTCTCCCTTCACTCTCCTCACACTATCCTACACACCAACACGCCGTCGTTTTTCTTCACTGTTAAAATCAATTCCCAATTCTATCAGCCACTATGGTCCTGGTCATGGTCGTGGAGGAGGAACAACGGGAATACGCCGCCGGCGACGTCACTTCTTCTCGGAAGCGGCCCCGCCGAGTCGTCGACGAGCCATCTGCCGATGAAGCCAGTTGCTTCCCCGCCAAGCTCGCTCGTCAATCCGACTCCGACTCCTCCAGAGGGTCCGGGGAGGCGAAGCGTATCGAGGAGGATTTGCTGAATATCCTCGACGACGCGGATGAATTACCTGCGATTCAGGGCCTGGACTCTGTTATCAGAAGCTTCGAGGAAGAGATCCTTCTCCCGACTTCTTTGCCACCGCCGGCGATCCGCGATGAAGTGACGGTACCGGAGCACGGCGATTCCAGCCCGGTGCTAGGTCGTCTCCTGGAGGCGTCGGACGACGAACTCGGCCTGCCTCCGATGCTCGCCGCCGGGAAGGGAGGTGAAATAATTGGTTCCGCCGATTCTCCGGCGGTGGACGGCCGTGATCGTTGTGGAGAAGGGATCCCGTTCGAATCGGACGGTAATGATCGTTGTGACGATTTCGAGGCGTTGGCGGAGCTATTTGATGAATCGAACGAAACTAATGGTGACCCTGACCCGGCAGAGATATCCGAATTACAATGGCGGCCAGAGTCGCTGTCAGCTTCCTGAAATTTCAAGGGAAAGAAAATTCTGAGAGTTAAAAACTTCAAAATTGGATGGAAGGTAAGAATCAATAAAGCAGGATGAAATTAGGAAACCAGCAAGAGAAAACGTTTCGGCCGATTTTGTCGATTTTCGTGGAAGTTGCAAATACGTCCGCTTCTGTTTGATGATATAATAGGATGTAAATTTCTTAGCCCTTCAATCGATGTCAAGGAAAAGTAGATTTCACCTTTTATTTTCTTGCAATAAAAGATCCAAAAATTGATACTATGAAGTCTTTGTACGGATGATACACAATAGTAGCATTAATGATGTATCAAAACATTAAAAGTACAACTTTAAGTTGTATTATAAAGGTAAAAACTAAAATACCAAAGTTTTAAAACATTGTAAAATTTTTCTGAAGTCTTATCATAGTTCTATAGTATTGATTTGACAATGACAATATAGTATGAAGTCTTATTTTTAAACAAAAAAATTTAATGTAGTCGTACCACTATCATATCATGATATTATCATAGTGATACTATGATATGATATTAGAGTGGTATGATCGTGCTTTAGTCTTACCATAGTGGTATAATGTAGGTACGACAACGGTAACATAGTATGAAATCTTATCTTTGAGCAAAAAAAATTAATGTCGTATTACCAATATCATATCATGATATTATATATATATATATATCATATCGATGATTTCATGATATGTGAGTTGTATGAACATGCTTCAGTCTTACAATAGTGGTAAGATCATGATGTACGTGATAGTGATATGATTGCAAGAAACATGTGTTTTGAAGGTTTAATTTTTTCTTTTGCTCAAAATATAGCAACATGGATATCATTATGTAGATCATAACTAATGCTCTCTATTTGTGCACAGTGGCGGAGGGAGAGGGTAACAGGGTGGGTCCCGGGACCCACCCTGGTTCAGGGGAAATGGTTAAATTATGTACGATAGTTAATTGATATTGAAAACTAGGTCGCATTTAATTGAGAATAATTGGTTGAAAAGTTTTGTGTTTGAATCTTGGCGACCTCATTTCTTAAGCATACAGTATACAGATTTGTGCGAACATCAATTTCGTATAAGTTGACTTTCTTATAAGGGATCATGGTAGTAAATGGTATAATATATTATTGAAATCTTCCAACAACTCGATTTATTGATACTAAATATTTGTTTAGGAACATCATTCGAAAGCGAACGACTAGGTAAATCATGAATTATTGGTTGGTATAAGATTTATTATTAAACCTCTATCAACAAATCGAGTTATTGATACTAACGGTTCTTAACAAAGAACACCATTTGAAACACTAAGACTAACTAAATCAATGATTGTTTGGTATATATGCAGAGTGATATTCTTAATATTTTCGACTGCTAATGCATTTTAATTTATCAAAAAATTTCAACGTAAGATTATATTAAAAAAAACTATTTTATCATACTTATTTTTTTCGAGGTGGACCCACCTGACACGCTAAAACACAACACCTAACAATGGCCAAGTGTAACCAATGAAAGGGACTGCAGTATAGTGGCACAAGTAATAAATATCGAATCCACGGGTCTCTAGAGTTACTATTACTCAGCTTCAGTTCATTATCTAGCAAACTAGATTAAGGATTGATTAACTAAAGTACTGTACTAACTAAACTAAGTAAAACTACTAATTACAGTTTGGGAACTCACTTAGGTATGATTCCCCCTAGCTCCTCAATTAGGTCCAAGTTGCAATTACCTTTGGTTGATCTACTGATGATTAAACTGCGGAAGATCCTAAATTAGCTTGGAATCTCTTAAGCTGACCAAGCCCTCTCAGTCAAACTACCCGGCAGACGACTAGTCTTCACCAGGATAGAAAGCTGAGGCTATGAACACAGAACTCCACTACTGGAATGAATTCCAGTACAAAGCAGTGAATTGATTGACTCTCGCACAACCAATTCACCACTATCAATCAAGGAAGCTCTCTTAACCTAATCAGATTCTATCTATCATAGGTTAAAGCAGAAATCAAGAGAATTTGATCAAGATTCAATTGACTCAATAAATCATGCCTCAATCGATTATAATTAAACAATATAGCATCCAAAATTTCATACAAGAGAGATCCTAACTCATGGAACTAGGGTTCCTTAAAACCTAAGTGAAGGGAAGTTACTCCATAGAGAAGAGAGAGACTGCAGAAATCTGATCTAGATCTTCAATCTCCATCTCCAAGCTTGATTCCCGAGCTCCAATGGCGAAGAAATCCTCCAAAATAGCTCCAAGAATGTTCCCAAGTCGCTCTCTCTCTCTAGGGTTCGTCCCTTGGGTGTTTGGGAACCAAAACCCAGCTCTCCCTTTCCTTTGGCTCGAATCTGCCTCAAAAACCCGATTCTTGGCGAATTACGGGCTGAATTACGGTCGTAATTCTTCCATGCCCGTATTTTGCCCAAAACACGCGTTTTGGTTATGTTTCAGCGCACCCAAAGCTCCTCTCGGCAGTGAAATTACGGGCATGGGAGGCCAAATTACGGTCGTAATTCTCCTGCCCGTAATTCTTCCTCCTCTCCTGTTCAAAGCTTCGTTTCTCCCTCGTTCGGACTCCAAATCAGTCGCCGTTTGAACCCAGACGCTCGTAGTCTCATCCTCTTTCTTTTCATAACAAGCTTGCCTGATTATTTGTCCATAAAGTGAGGTAGAAATCCATTCTTCTTCAGGTCATGACCGAGTTTCTTCTCCCTAATCGCCAATTGATCTCTGATTGACTTGAAACTTGCGCCTATGCTTCACTTTATGTGCTAGGGCCTGAAATGTGACAAAGGAACACAACCTAGCGTAAAATAGGCCAAGAAACAATCAATTCGAGCCAAAATGGGCAGGAAACCAGAGTGAAAACACGTGCAAATACGATGCTATCACCACCTTAAACGAAATCCTGGCTACGCCACTGTTTGTGCAAAAAAGAAATTTCTGAGGTAGAACGAAAGAAATGTGTCATCGTACCACTATCATATCATGATGATATTACAGTGATAAGATTTATCAAAAAATTTTAACGTAAGATTATATTAAAAAAAACTATTTTATCATACTTATTTTTTTCGAGGTGGACCACCTTAAACGAAATCCTGGCTACGCCACTGTTTGTGCAAAAAAGAAATTTCTTAGGTAGAACGAAAGAAATGTGTCATCGTAGCACTATCATATCATGATGATATTACAGTGATAAGATTTCAGCAAACAAGTATGTTGAAGGGCTAATTTTTAACTCAAAATATAACAAAATGGATGTAATAAGTATAGTCACCTAATTTTGTCGTTTACCTTTATCTATACACTGTGTAGACCATAATCAATCCTTGCTCCAGATTGATCCCTCGCGATATAATCCGCAGGTTATACCGGTCGGGGGTGACCCACCTGTTGTCGAGGTGATTTGTCAGGGGAGGGGCATTGGTGTGATCTCAAACTAATCTGTGGTTTGACCCACCTACTTGCCGTATTATAAAAGTTATTCCCCTTCCGTGGCAGAATTTGGAGGATAGGCTCATATGGCATGATACAGCTGATGGGGTATTCTCTGTTAAGTCTGCCTATCACTTGGCCGTCTCCCTAGATAGGAGGAGGGGTCGTTGGAGGGCTACGGCTAGTTGGATGGATAAGACCAGTTGGATTCGGTTGTGGGAGGCTAATATTCCCCCAAGTTAAAGGTGTTTGTCTGGCATATCCTAAATCGGTTCTTACCAACTACTGAAGCCCTCATTGGTAAGAAAGTCCTGGTGCTTCCACGTTGCCCGGTTTGCTGGGATAGACCTGAAACTGTGGAACATTTGTTTCTTGATTGTCCGGTGGCGCGTGCCCTTTTGGGCTATTCGTGGCTGGAGTACGTAGGGGAAGGGTTACCTCGTCATACATTATATTCCCTCTATTTCTTAAAAGATTGATGGCTTTAATTCAGCAGTCGATGCTTTTCATGGCATTTGTCGCCGTCCTCTAGCGGATCTGCCGGTCTCGTAACTGGATGGTCTTTGAAGGCAAACAGTTTGGGATCCCTGCTTTGATGCGTCAGTTTACTCAGCAATATGAGGAATGGGTGAGGCTGCCGGTGGATAAAGCTCTTCAGGCCTCTTTTCCTGTGGTACGACAACCGGGGCCGGCGGGACCTACTAGGGTTGTTTGTATGTGGGATGTGGCTACTAGGAGTGGATCTCATTCGGCGGTAGGGTTGGTTCTTATGACCCCAACTCGGGACATCCTTATGGCTAAAGGGGTTCAATTTCATATAATTGATGACCCCATGGTGGTGGAAGTGGAACTGTTTGTCCTCCGTGAGGCTATTCTTTGGTGTCTGGACCACGGTTTCACGGACATACGATTTGAAGAGGATGCCAAGGTGATCATCGACAAAATCAGGCGGGCCGATACAAGGGACAACCGGATGGGTGCTATTCTTGAAGAAATTATGCTTTATTTTGACAGAAACCCCGGGTTTAGTGTTCGATTTGTAGGTCAGAGCCCTATAGTGGCTAGAAAGGCCCTCTCTTTGTACCCGACTATGAGTCGTTTCTTCGATTTTCAATCCTGTTTCATCTTCAGGATGTAACTATCTATTATTGGAATCAATACATGATTATCTTTTGTAAAAAAAAAAATTAATCCTTTCTCTCCATGAAAAATCTTTTAAATTCCAAGCTAAATGAATAAAATATGACCCGATAAAACAGAATTTATATTAGAAAGAGTACGCTTTGACGGGTAAAAATTATCCTGTGTCCTCTAAATTCCTTGACAGACAAAGTAAAACAAAAAATATAAACAGGTGCAAAATATCAGTATGCCCCTCCTTGTCCTTATGAGGGACAACTCAAGATCGACGCTTTGTAGGATTTTGAATAAAAAGTTTGTAATTTATCTGCTCCTATAGATATTTACTTCCATACCGGTTATGAGAATCTCCTTACAACTTGTCCACATGTGGCCAATACATTAGCAAAAATTTATTATTTTT